ACCCTTCACTTGCTTTCAGAAGTGATGATCAAATGTGAACTTTCATGGTTTATTTATAGCTCTGCCTTATAGAGAGAAAGAAAAGAAGTGATTAAAATGCTATTTTACAAAATATTTTGTTTTTAAAAAGCTTTCATTGTGTGGGCAAAAGGAAAAAGAAAAGTCACTGTATTCATTGTGCTGTCTAGACTCTCAAACAAAGAGGGTAGCGTGCTGCAAATTAAGATTGTCCAGCTCCTGCCTGCTGACAAAAAGTATGAATTTGGAGGCCAACTTCAAATAAATCCTTTGGAACAGAAATATATTGTGGGGGTGACTATATTTAGCATGTGTCAGCATTTCCATAATAAATTCGTATTGTTATGTTGTGGTAAATTCAGATTTACTGCAGCCAAGTGGGATCATGAGATTTCAGTTTTGTGTTAATTATTTGGAGAAATTGGAAAACTCAGCAGTGCTATTTCTGATGAGAGCACTGATTCTCAGGGTATTCTCCATATTGTGTTAGGAACCCATAATAAGCCCTGCCTTTCAGGAAAGGGGAAGGTGAACCCAAGTCATTTTGACTGCCTTTGTAAGCATAACTTTAAATATATACATATATACACATATATGGCATTACATGTTTTCCCTACAAATACAAAATTAATATATGCCACCATAGAAAATTTGGAAAATACAATAAGCAACTTGATAAGAAAAAAAAATTGTTACCCATGCTATCCAACCTGATAACATTTTAATATGTACTGATCCAATCTTTATTATGCATATATAACTTGTTTTTAACAAGTTGTGTAGAGCAAACAAAAAATTATGTAGCACAAACACGATTATTGAGATAGAATAAAAAATTATGTCTTTATTTTCTATTCTCATTATCCCTTTACATTTGTGCAGTAGAGCTAGTTTTTCCCTGCCCTGGTTAAAAATTCTGGTGGTTCCATTACTTTTTTAGATAAATGTAAAGTCACTTAGATAATATAACCTTTATGGTCCCTTTAAGTTGTGAGATGTAGCCAAAATTCAGAAATTCAAGTATCAAAGAATATGTAAAGGTAAAGGTAAGACGTTTTCCAGTTCTTCCAGCTGGGATCTGCCAAAAATGAGATGTAGCCCTAATCAGATTCTGCTTTCTTCCTCATTCACTTTCTCTCCAACATATTAGCTTTTTTCTTATTCCTCTGAAATGGTTAGAAAGTATAAGGGAAGAAAAGTTAGGAGTGTAGGAAAGTTCTTATCCGATCAGTACTGTCATAATGGGCTTCATGCTCTTTTAGCCTTATAGGTGTTTACAGCTAGCTCTGATTCTCATAAGGCACATCATAGATTTTTGGGGAGACCCTCTGCCTCTGAAAACCTCTTACCTGAAATATTCTTGTCTTAGTTAATGCCTCTCTATTCTCATAAATTGCTTACTCTTAATTCCTCAGGAATCCTTAGCCTTTTTTTTTTTTTTTTGGTTTTGTTTTTTGCTTGGTTTTGTTTTGAGATAGAGTCTTGCTCTGTCTCCCAGGCTAGAGTGCTGGAGTGCAGTGGTGCAGTCTTGACTCACTGCAACCACTGCCTCCCAGGTTCAAGCAATTCTTGTGCCTCAGCCTCCCCAGTAGCTGGGACCACAGGCACATGCCACCATACTTGGCTAATTTTGTATTTTTGGAGAGATGGGGTTTCACCATGTTGGCCAGGCTGGTCTCAAACTCCAGACCTCAAGTGATGTACCCGCCTTGGCCTCCCAAAGTGCCAGCATTAAACGCATGAACCATTGCGCCCAGCCCAACCTCATGCTTCTTTGTGGAGACTCCTCAACCTCGTTAGGCGGCCATGTTGAACAGGATCTAAGAACCCCTGGCATCTCTCTCACACAGGGGCCACTTGGGGTCTATGGCAAACCTTTGTCTTTGGGATCTGAACAGACTCTGGCAGTGCTGGTTGATCCCAGGGTAACCTGTACTTCACTTTTACACTGCAGCTGCCAGCCAGCCTGTCTCTTCCAGACAGGAGTCACTCACAAGCCACCATTGTGCCACAACCTCAGGAACATGCAGCAGATTCTCTGCTGGTCTGTGTCCTCTTGACTCCTGAAGGGAGAGGATTCCTTCATACTTCACCCTGGAAGGAGGCCTGATGTGCAATAAACCGACAGCTCTTTCCTAAAAATCCATCTCTGTCTGAACTTCCACGTGGATGAAAGGTTTAAGAGTTGATTAATGGGTCCTCAGGCACCATTCTTGCACATTCTTCAGGGTGGTCTGTTTCCAGTTTGCTTTGGTATCTCATATCTGTCATCTTTAGATCTCAGCCAAAACTTCCATTTTAACATTCTGTCACGTGTATTATCCTTAAGTTCATTCATTCCATAGACATTCCCTGAGTGCATACGATATGCCAGATGCCGAGTTTGGCAGTGAAAATAATTATAACAATTCCAGCTTTAAGGAGCTCACAGTCTAGTTGGGGAGGCTGATCTGTTAACAAAAAAATATGGTGCCATGTCATAAACGCTATGATAGACGGAAGCACAAGTTGCTGTTGGAGCACATAACTCAATATAGGTGGGAGGCAGGCAGCGGGGATGAGTCAGAAAAAAATCTCAGCAGAGCTGATACCTGAGCTAAGTTTAACATTTAAATCTGTACTTTTTGAGAAACAGCATAACGTCTTTTTAAACCATTGAAATCTCTTTTGCTGATGTTTGCTTCTCAATTTATTTTTAAAACAAGCAAAGGTAATGTGGAGAAAGGAAGGAAGAATTCCCTGATGTCTGCCATTTGTGTGCACATCTGTTGCAGTGGGAAGGAAAATAACATTTATGGAGTACCTTCTATAATAGAAGTTTCCTGGATCCCACCCATGAAGGCGATCCTGGAATGTTGTCTCAAGTGTGGGGCCAAAGCACAGCCAGGAGGAGCATTCCCTGAGGGCAGTTTGAAGATTCAGAGCTGGTAATAGAAGGCGAGGTCCTCCCTAAAGCACAGCAGAGCACAACTCAAGGAAGAGACGAGGACAAAATAAGAATGAGTGGCACAGCTGATGATGGGGATTGCTGAGATGATCTCAACAATACCCAAGCTTGCTCTAAGGGAATCAGGACTTCGTCTATGAAGGAAAATGTTCTGAGGCAAGCAGAGCTCTTAACATACCTCTGCTAAGTGGGATGGCAGCAGCTTCACTAAGATGTGTTTGACCGTCCGGCCCTTCACAACATGACTCCAGTAAGCCCTTTTAGTCTTTGTCTTTCTCCATGGTTTCCTTGTCAATAATTTTTCATTTAAAAAAATCTCCTGCCTACTTAAGACTGCCATTTCTTTCTGCTGTCAGTGTGCTGGCTACTCTTAGCATCTCTGATCTCCCAATCAGCACATTGAAATCCATGGAGAGCTAGGAAGCTAGATGACTAGTTCAGAATGCACATGCTATCCTCGTGGAAGAGTCCATAGAGCAACCTGGCAGGAGTGGAAATTCATGTAAGCCAGCAGATGAAAGAACCATCAGGTTACCTAACCCTTGAATAACTATTCAAAGAAGTTTATCCGCTTCTAGCGTAGTATTTATCACACTCTATTTTGATCACATTAAATGTCTTTTCCAGTCTATGGTGAGCTTTTTGATGAAAGGCCCATACAATCTTTCTCTGTATTCCATGTAGATTGAGTGTTATGCTTGGCACATGAAAGGGAGGCAATGTGTTTTATGAATATTCCAGGTGTCGAGATTCAGTAGTAAACAGACAAGTCCTTGCCCTGTGCAGCTGACATTCTGGTTAGGGCAAGGAGTGAAGGAGGCAGACAATGAACACATAAACCAGAAAACATACAAAGTGGCAGAAGGAAATCAGTGGCATGCAAATCGGTCAATCAGTCACAGTAAGGTGGCAAAGATGGTCAGGGGGAACACTTGGAAATGCTTTGAAGATACCCAGGGGCTCTCATATTCTGTATGGTATTCAGCTTTTTTTTTTTTTTTTTTTTTTTTTTACATTTTTTCCTCCCTTACTAGTATGCGAGTTTCTCCAGGATAAAGAGTATGCTGTATGCAAATCTGTATCCCTAGCAGAGTGTCTGGTACATAGTAAGTGATTAACAAATGTGTAGAGTAAGAAGTTGTATACATGTGATCCCAGAATGACTGCATCCTTAGCAATAGGAATTCAATAGCCATTCCTGAGACTGAGCATATGCTGTAGAGCTTTGTCATACTGTTGCTTGCCATCTTCCCTAGCCAGGTCTGTTGGACTCCAAAGTTTGCTTTCTCATGGCCTTAACAGCCTAAGAGACTCCTTAAAAAAAACCTTACTCTTCTGCTCATATGGGAGCCAACACAATCCATGGTTAATCTTGATGCTGCACACACCATACCATGTCCACCCAGATGCTGTAACATGTCATCTGCCTGAGTGCCCCATTGTAAAGAAAAGAATGTCCTGAAGTCACATTCCAGAACTCAAGTCACTTAGACTCAGCCCAGAGGTCTCAGTAGGTACTCACAACTTCAGAGACTGCTGGAAAAAGAGCTGAAGTTGAATTGACGAGGTCTTAAATATTTTATCCTCAAGTACAGGTGCAACGTGAGTTCCATTCGGTGATTGCTATCTTTAGGTAAGTAGACGATGTACTCAGCGGCTGGTTATGTTCCATTCTTCTGCCCTGTGTCCAGGTAGTGAGGAGGGGAAGTAATTCTTCCCACTCACCCCTGGAGGCAGTCACAGAACTGCTTTGCCTTCTGGGTTGTTTATGCCCCAGAGGCCTCAATATACAAGTATCTATTAAGTGCAGGATGTGTGTGTGGTCATAGTTGAAACTTTAAATGTTCACTGTGTTTTATTCTTATTTTTGTGTTTTATTCTTATTACCAGAGAAGAATAAGTTAAAAAAAAAAAAGAGGACTAACCAAATATCTTAAAGGGAAGCAAATTCTAATTAGAATGTTTTGCCTGTGACAAGCCTCACTTTGGATTTCACTTTCCAACTCAGCTGTCTGTATTGTTTTCCATTTAACAGGAAGCAATGGCAAAAATGAGCAAAGTTGGGAAAGTTGTGTTCCCGAGACTACAGGATAAAAAGTAAGTGTGTATTTTTTATATGTACAGTGCTAAGGAATTGAGCACATACACACACACATGCAACTATAGATCTGGAATAAACTCAGGTGGTCAACTAATCCAGTCCTTTCATTTAGTGGTTAAGAGAACTAAGTTCCAGGGAGGTAACGTCACCTTCACTTATCTAAGATTGCAGAACTATGTAGGGCCAGAGCTGGGGGTCAGATGTAAGCTTCTGAACTCTCAGACCAATGTTCTTTTTCCTAGGTAATTGGCAGCAAATCTGCTCTTCTCTGTTCTAAAGTAGGGATCTCTTATATCTGCATCAAAGGACCCAGTAGCATCTGCCCATTCTTTTACTCTTTGTATCACTTGGCATCAAAATCTAAAAAATGATGTTGGTCAGTATTTTAATCCCAATTCAACAAAATATTAATTTATTTCATTCCTGCTATATTCAAGGCATTATGCTGGGCTCCAGGCAGGTGTTACAGGGGAATAAAACACAATCCGATTTAGGCACATAGATTATTTTAGAACAACGGGATAAGTTCCACAATTGAAGTATTGCCAGGTGACAAAGTTGCCCAAGGAAGAAAGGGATGGGAGCCTGTAGAGATGAGAGAATGCTTTTGGAAGGAGGTTATGTCCAAGCTAACTTTAAGCACTGTAAGAAATTGGTAGACAGGCCAAGGCAGGAAAGAATATTCATAGTAGAAGAAATAACGTGTACAGTTATAAAGGTGGGAGCAGCATAGTACATTCAGGTTACTACAAACAACTCATAATCCAGAAACACAAAGTATGAGATGGGGAATGGCAGGAAATGGGACCGGGGAAGGATAGAATTGGGTGGGGGGAGGTCAGCTCATAAATACCTTGGAGGCCATGCCGAAGACCTCTAACCTCACCCTATAGGCAGAACAGAGATGCCGAATTCTAAGCAGAGGTGAGACCTGGTCGATGCAGATCAGAAAGATCCCTCTTAAAGGATCCAATACAGGGGGCTCAGGGTAGAAATAGAGGGTTCAAATAAAAGGCTTTTTCAAGAATCCAGGCTAGAGATGTAAAAGACCTCTATTAATTTGCTGGTGGTGATTTTGAAGATGAAGGGGTTGTTGTGGAAGTGCTTTTATAATTTTAGGAAAGTATTCAAGTTTAAGACCTAAAAACAAATTCCACTTAACATGATGAACAGGCAAAGGTGCAGATCCCACTGAAGTAGGGTCAGTGTTTAACAGAACTGGAAATGTTCATAGAAAAGCAATCCACTTTCTTTTCATTTCCCTTGTCTCCACATAGATTCAGGCTGCTAATCCTCCGAATATAAACCCTTCTCTAAATGCCAGGGTGGAAGGTGCAGGCCTTGCATAAGGGAGCTCCATGCAGGAAGGTAGAGAGATCTGAGTTCCCATTGGCAGTAGGAGCTATGCTGTCCCTATTTCTGTTCCCTAGAGGCAGCTGGAGCATCCCTCTTTTTGTGAAATTAGAAAGATTGTCTTTCTCCATCTCTTCCCTGACCCTCCCAAGACTTGTTAGGGAAGTTTTTAAGTTCTTTCCCTAAACCCCACGTGTTTCTTTAGAAGAGAGTCCTTGGCTGCTTGCTGGGAGCTGGCAGCTGGCCGCTGTTCTCTGTGAAGGAGGCAGCACACATGGTGCTTTAGCACCATCTGCAGGCAAACCAGAGATTTGCAAGGAGACAGGAGAAGCCAGTTTCCTTCTGAGCCAACCTCGCCTCATTGCCTAATAGATCACACTGTTAACGATGTGGGACGACATTTACTTAGGCCTCTGCCACACAGAAGCAAGGGACTGAGTTGAGGCACATTTTGAAGAGAGGGGATTCAGCTGATTTGAAAATTCACAATCACGGAGAGCACAATTTAGTGACTATAGTTTAATGAGTAAATGTTTAGGATGACCCCAAATCGCATTATTTTGCCCAGTCCAAATTTATATGTGGCCCTGGAAGAGTCCCTTAAAAGTGCTTTGAAAAATTTGGTGCATTGAAAGACACTATCAACAGAGTAAAAAGGCAACTCACAGAATGGGAGAAAACGTTTGCTTATCATACATCCAATAAGGTATTGATATCCATAATATATAAATGTATAAAGAACTCCTAAAACTCAACAACAAAAAAGCAAAAACAACCTAGTTCAAAAATGGGCAAAGGAGGCCGGGCGCGGTGGCTCAAGCCTGTAATCCCAGCACTTTGGGAGGTCAAGACGGGCGGATCACGAGGTCGGGAGATCGAGACCATCCTCGCTAACCCGGTGAAACCCCATCTCTACTAAAAAATACAAAAAACTCACCAGACGAGGTGGCAGGCGCCTGTAGTCCCAGCTACTCGGGAAGCTGAGGCAGGAGAATGGCGGAGCTTGCAGTGAGCTGAGATCCGGCCACTGCACTCCAGCCTGGGCGACAGAGTGAGACTCCGTCTCAAAAAAAAAAAAAAAAAAAAAAAAAAAAAGTTGGGCAAAGGACTTGAATGGATATTTCTCCAAAGAAGATTTATGAATGACCAATAAGCACGTGATAGGGTATTCAACATCACTATTAGGAAAATCAAAACTACAGTGAGATACCACCTCACACCCAATAGGATGCTACTATTTTAAAACAGAGAACAACAAATGTTGGCAAGGACATGGAGAAATTGGAGCCCCTGTGTATAGTTGGCGAGAATGCAAAGTAGTATTGCTGCTGCAGAAAACAGTATGGCCATTCTTCAAGAAATTAAAAATAGAATTAACATGTGATTCAGGAATTGTATTCCTGAGTATATACCCAAAAGAACTGAAAGTAGGGTATGGAAGAGATATTTCTACATTCATGTTCACAACAACATTATTCATGATAGCTAAAACCGTGAGAGCAACCTAAGTGTTCATTTGTAGATGAACATATAAACAAAGAATGATATGTTCATAGAATGAAATATTATTCAGCCTTAGAAAGAAGCAATTTCTGACATGCCACACATCAGTGAACCTTGAGGATATTATTCTAAGTGAAATAAGATAACCACAAAAAGACGAATACTGCATGATTCCACCTATGTAAAGAATAAGGCCAGTACACAAAGTTAAGGCAAAGTTGTCAGTATTAACATTGTAAATCTTCAAGTGTGTGTGAAGGGGTGCTCCCCTTAGCTCCCTTCTAGCAATTTTGAGATTCTAAAGTCAAGAAATCCATCTCATGTAAGTGTAAGAATTGCTTACCATTATATTGTCCCAGAGCATCATGAGTAGGAGCAAATTGTTCCTAAAATAATTCAATGACTAATAAATTTGGATGGTCATAGAGTAGGGTTTAGTAGTACCTACATATAGCTATATTGATGATAATATTAAAATATTAATTATCTAAAAATTAGTAACTAGCACTTATATCACTTATTATGAGTCAGGTACCGTTCTAAATGCTTTTCATATATTTCCACATTTAATTCACACAACAGCTCTGCTGAAGTAGATCCCATAATTATCCCCATTTACAGATGGAGAAATTTCGGCAGAAATAGTGTAAGTAACATATCCAAAGTCACACAGCTAATATTGGGCCACATTAAGATTCCAACCCAGGCTTCGGAGTTCACCTTTTAACCCTGTGCTTGGCCCCATCACAACTCCTGCGTTACCAGAATGCTTACAGTATAATAAATACCAGGTAGGTGACTCCTACGAACATAGCTATGTGTGACTAGTAGAAGTCCCTCTGTGTATCCAAGGTTACTCTTACAACCTCTCTCCCTCAATGCACAACTTTGCACCAAAATTTCATCATGAGGACTCCTTTTCAGAGCACCCCAGAATAAACCAAGACGTGCTAAACTGGCTTCTTCATCCCCTCACCCCATGTCAGTTTCCCAACCAAGAGGAGTAAGGACAAAGTTGCAAGGCTGCAAGTATAATTTGTCTCGGTGCCTATTATTCCTTTCAGGATTATGATGCCAGCGCAGCTTCAGCTGTTCTGCTATCTGATTCATGGCAATACCAGTTCTAACAGGTCTAACCCAAAGAGTCAGACAGATAGGACAGGGAGAGCGAGGGCCACTGTGAGATGCCTGGAAGGCGAGCACAGCTCTAGAAAAGGCATGAGTCACCTTTCCATGGAGTTTTGCTCCTGGATAAAGCAGTTCACAAGGGAAACCTGGATGTGGAATCTGCAAAAGGGCAATTAAAATGTTCAGTCTCATCTTTGGTCAGGCTGTGATTTTAGGCCAGTCATCAAACCTGGCGCTAGTTATATAGGAAATATTTATTGAAGCTGGCAATGTGAAAGGGTCTCCATTAAGTTCGGGCTTTTTTGTATATACAGCAGAAGCTTTGAAGTCAGACAGACATGAGTTTCAATTCCAGCTCTGCCAATTTTTATCTATACTATTTTGTATATGCCTCTCATTTAGAATTTTTTTTTTTTTTTTTTTTTTTTAATGGAGTCTCACTCCTTCACCCAGGCTGGAGTGAAGTGGTGTGATCTCGGTTCACTGCAACCTCCGCCCGCCCCGGGTTCAAGTGATTCTCCTGCCTCAGCCTCCTGAGTAGCTGGGATTATAGGCATCCACCACCATGCCCGGCTAATTTTTATATTTTTAATAGAGATGGGGTTTAAATGTTCTTATTTCTAAAATGGAGATAATAAAACTTCATGCAGGTCACATATAATAGGTCTGACACATGCTAATTCATTGCCCAGGATGCTGTAAGCATTCAAAATCTAGGTGTCAGCATCACCACCACAGATATATTCTCATTCTTCTAAATGTACAGGGAAGCCCCATGGCAGTTTTGTCTTGAGATCATTCAACATATTTATGTTTCTCCCACAGATACTATGATAAGAAATACCAAGTATTCCTGAAGCTGGTTGAACACCAGAAGGAGTATTTGGCGATCATGAATGACAACTGAACAGGGCTTGCAGGTGCTGATGCCAGAAGCTTCTGTGCCATTGCATTAAAGACCTCTGTCATTTCATCCATGTTCAAGACCCTTGAGGTATTGTTTCATCATTTCTGTATTGTCTTTTAATAAAGAAAACAAATATGTGCAACCAGAATTAGAGTCTTCATTTCATACCACTATTATTTAGTTTCAGTTTCCATACAGTTTCCATCACAGTAACAGAAGTTTCACATAGAGTCATAGGATCTCACATGAGACTAGATCTTGGGGGCCGTTCAGTCCAGGGGAAGCCTGTACTTTTTAATCAGTTAAATGTCAGCTATTAAATGAAAACCTTACATTACTTTAAGTAGGACATCTAATGCATGGTCCATGTCTTTTATGGTATTTTCCCCTCCTGTGCAGGATCTAGTCTAGGGTCAGATACCACATTTATTTCCAGAATTGTCATTTTGCAATCATCATATTAAAGACAGGTATAGGCAGGAATCATCAATGGATCCAGGAGGGAATTTTGAAGAGTAACAGGATATATGCATCATCTTAAAATGTCTCTTCAGCATTTGCTTATTAGTTACCAGAGGAAAAAGAATGTTAAGTATACAGGGAAGAAATAGGACAACGTCTTGATTAGGTGATCCAAATCAACTTCAGATGGGCAAATGGACATTGTGTGCCTCCAAATATGAGAAAAGAAACAGCATTTTAATGCAGAGCCTGAATCTAATCAGAAGGAAACATCAGACAAACCCAACAGGGGAAGCATTTTATTTTTTAATGGACTATATTTTTCAAAAATGTCTGTCATGCTGACAGAGAAAGGCTGTGGAAAGTTTTCAGATTAAAGGGAACTGAAGAAACATGATGGCTAAAAGCTTTTAATGTAGACAAGCACTGGAAAAACTAGCTATTTTAGTTGATACCACAGCAAACACACAAACACACACAGACATACACATACATACGTATGTCAACACCCACACACAAGTTCAGACCAAAGAGTAACTGCTAACATTGATTTGAGAGCTGCCATAGCTCAAATGAGTGTGGGTAGAGGACATGCTAAGACTTCAGCAAAAGACAGCAGGTAGAGAAGAAAAAAGCCAATATAATTCAGTAAACAAACATCCTGTGGAGTACCTTGTGCCACATGTTGTGGTAAGCACTGGTCTACGGGAATAAATAAGACATGGTTCCTGCCTTCAGGAAGCTCCCTATTTAAGGAGAGACATAGACAAATAAACTGGTGACAGTACATTGTGAGAAATGCTACCATGAAAAAAAAGTACCTGCTGCATGCAGCACATCAATCAGAAAAGGAGGAAGGGGAAGGGTGACAGATGGGATGAAAAACAATGTGGTATAACAGCTATGAGCCCTGGCCTGGGATCCTAGGCCTGGTCTTACCTCTTATTAGATGTGTGACTTGGAGAAAGGTCCTTAATCTTCCTAAGTCTCAGTTTCCTCATTTTGAAATGAATCGGGCTGGGTGTGGTGGCTCACGCCTGTAATCCCAGCACTTCGGGAGGCCGAGGTGGGCGGATCACGAGGTCAGAAGATAGAGACCACCATGAAACCCCGTCTCTACTAAAAATACAAAAAATTAGCCGGGCGAGGTGGCGGGCGCCTGTAGTCCCAGCTACTCAGGAGGCTGAGGCAGGAGAATAGTGTGAACCCGGGAGGCGGAGGTTACAGTGGGCCAAGATCGCGCCACTGCACTCCAGCCTGGGTGACAGAGCAAGACTCCGTCTCAAAAAAAAAAAAAAAAAAAAGAAAGAAATGAATAGGTATCGAGTATGAATATGTTTTTTCGTTTTTTTGTTTTTTGTTTTTGAGATGGAGTCTCGCTCTGTCGCCCAGGTTGGAGTGCAGTGGGGCAATCTCTGCTTACTGCAAGCTCCACCTCCCAGGTTCATGCCATTCTCCTGCCTCAGCTTCCCGTGTAGCTGGGACTACAGGCGTCCGCCACCATGCCCGGCTACTTTTTTGTATTTTTAGTAGAGACAAGGTTTCACCATGTTAGCCAGGATGTTCTCGATATCCTGACCTTGTGACCCGCCCGCCTCGGCCTCCCAAAGTGCTGGGATTACAGGCGTGAACCACCACACCCGGCCTGAATATGTAATAGTACCTACTTTACAGGATTATAATGAAGACTAAAGGAGATAATATATACAAAGCACTCAGCTCAATTTCATGGTCAATGCCTGTGTTGTAACAGGGCTCTGCTCCTGAAAGATGCTCAGAATAATAACAGTAGTAAGCATGGAGAAGAGTGAGCACCCCAGTTATGAAGGTCAGCTCTGCAATAGCATGCTACAGTATCCAAAGGATATAGGGACCTTAGGCATAGCCCCTAGTGAAGGTGGGTGTGCGTGTCTGATCTAGCTGACCTAAGGGCAGAAGGAAGCCCAGTGCATTTATAGACCCCAGCCAGAGGTTGCACTAGAGATAAAGGAGGATTGGGGATCACTACAGAAGAGGAGTCAGGTATTACAGGATCTAAGCAAGATGTCAGGTCTACAGTCAAACAGGCTTCAGCTGCAAAAGCTGATTATCACTGACTGAGAAACCGGCAGGCCTGGACCTGCTCACACGAAGCCCTGGTGGATGCAGTGGTTGTCTGTGGGTGCAAAAGGCAGACATAAAAGCATGAATAATTACCAACTATCTGCCAAGTCCTTGTCGTATGTCCTCTCCAATCCTCCTACAGCACTGTGAGGTAGGCAGCATTACCCCCACCTTATAGTTGAGAAAGTTGAGTTTCAGAAAAGATAGCTTGCCCAGAGTCACCAGACGGTAGCAGAGATAAGATTCAAATCCAGATCTGCCTGGGTGCAAAACTTTAGGTATCAACCCATTGTAACAGCTGGAGAGGAATCCTGCCCTCCACCTGCTCTTTAGTTGCAGTGCTCATGTTGTTGGTTGCCAAGCCCTGGGTGCTGGCCATTCTTTCAAGCAAACTCATATCCAAACCAAACCTGACCTGAGTTCTCACTGCTTTAGAGAGAAAGGAAAACACACACAAATGAGGCAAAAAACATGGCAACACTAGGACACCTTTGGCATCTCAACAGTGAGGAGCAGCTTGATAGAAAGGAGAAGGGCTGAAAGACCTTGGGCAAGATAGCTAACCTGTCTAAGCCTCAGTCTTTCCCTTTGTGGTGGGAATCATCCTGCTACCTACCTCCTAGGGTCGGTGGTAAGGATTCAGTGAAAGAACTGTGGATAAAGCCCTTAGCACAATGCTTTTCAGACAATAGGCACTCTACAAATATTGTTTCTCCATGGTTCTCTCTGTGCCTCCTAGCTAGGAAGTTAATCCCTAAGAAAATCGTTCTGGTTCCTACTATAAAGCCAGTGTGTTAGGAAAAATGTAAATGTCTATATATAATTCTATTAGAAACCACGTGTAGCTCAATAATAAAAATTTTAATCACTCCAGTACACACCTCCTTTCACTGAGAAAGGAGGTTTTGTTTAATACATGCATGTAAAATATAGTTAGCTTTGATGAATAAGAATTGCCATGTGGCCAGAGTGGTTTATGAGATTTTTGTTTTGTTGCCTACTGAAAGCTTTTCTTTCAAGTTAAAGCCAGACTTGCTTAGCAAGTCATTTTGCCAAGGAACACATTACAGGTTTTAAATTTTGACCAAAAATACTTCCCATATGTGAAGAACATAAATGTGGCTTTCAAAAGAGCCAAAGAGAACAAAAGCTGGGGGAGGTGAGGAAGAAAAGACAAGAATGACAGAATGGACTGGCGTGTTGCAGAGCTACAGTAAACTACAGGACCCGATGCCACAGTGAGCTGGAGTCCCAGTGAGGCATCCGGAAGGGATGCCCTCTCTTTTGAAGATCAAGACTGGGCGTTTGATCTTCGTATTCAGAGCATAATCTGTGTTGTTGCCAGTTGCGCTGGGGAGTGTAAGTTCCAAGAGGAGCAATAAAAATATTGTAAGGCAACCCTGGAAACGCCCAGCTTTAAGAATGTACCAAATCAGCACGTGAGTTAACAAGCTAGAACGCTTAGGTTTTAGTATCAACATGATCTGCTATTTCTCCCAGGCCTGAGGATAATCAAGTTCTTTAGATTTACTTATCTGTTTTTTTATTTGTTGTTTGTTTGTTTGTTTGTTTTTCCCTCTGGCCACTGACCTGTGAGCTCTTGGAGGGCTCAGAATATCTTATAGCCTGTTCTCTGCACCCAAACAGTTCTTGGCACATAATGGGTATTCCATAAATGAATAAATACACAAACACAAGATGTTTTTCTGCAAAAAAGAACACTGGTAGAACTAAAAAAGCTCACTTTCAGGTCAATCTTCTATATGTGTTAATATGTCTTAATTTAAGCAACTGTCAAACGCTTTAAAATGTGATTTGGTCACTGAGGGTTTTTAAAAATCATGCCTTATACCTAATGACTTGGTTTTTTAGTTTTTTATTGCACATACACACACATACATGCATAATCACACAACTTCATTTTGGGTTGTAGCTCAAGCTGAGAACTTTTTGCAAATTTTCCCTGTTGTTACAGACTATTTCCTGTATGGGAAGCCAGAGGTGTTGTATCCAGAAACACCCATTGTTCACCAGGACTGCAGGACACATGCTTTCAGAATTCAAGGGCATAGTTACAAATAATTACCATCAAGAATTTAAAATGAAGGACATCGTTGCTAAACAAGAAACTAATGACTGAGTGGAGCTGTGTAATGTAATTATACTTAAGATGGGACTTCTGACGAATTACAGAAGAATCTTTGTGCTGTCTCATGTCTCCATAAATACACTTAACTGCTATTGACAGTAATGGGAGGGAGTCTTGAATATGAAAAGCTTTTTTATCCTTTTATGATTTCTAGAGGGAGAACTTAAAAGAACAATTACGTTTTTAAAAAAGAAGTTTCTCCCAGTACTTCTGAATATTTGACAATCCTATAACATTTGTAAAACTAAAGTAACTTAAATAAAAGCAAAGACTTCTGCTAGTAAATTCCAACTTCTCAGTTTAGCATTAACTTGCCCATTAATTTTGTGGTCAATTTTCATTATGCACAGAAAATCATTTAAAACTACGTATTAGCATAAATGTTTCTAAAGATCTAATTTTTATTTAAGTCCTGCCTTAAACCATGATTAGAA